GTTTATAATTATCAAGAAATTACCACTAATTTAAGTGCATGCTTTACTACAGTGCTAATGAAGAGTTGTGTAAATAACAACCACTAAATGGCTGGCTTTGATCAATTCATCATTTGATTAATTTGATTAATTAATAATTAAACGTCTGATATACTGTATATACTTTTTTTTGCTTTAACAGATTTCCTATTTGCATTTTCCAGGGAAAGGATAAATCAATCGATCAATCAATCAATACTTACCTCCGTGAATCCAGTGACCTGCTGGTGGAATGTGAGGGACAATATGTCAGTGCTATCAAACTGACAACCAGGTATCTGTGTGTGCCACAAGCATCATCCACACCGTCAGAGTGAACACTTCCTACTGCTGGAGACACCATCAGCGAGGAGTGGGCTTGTTTGTGTCCAGAGAAAGCAGACGTGTTGATTTTTCTGAAGAAAAGCTGTTAAGTGAAAAGGTCCTAAGTGTGTAGCAGTGAGCATTAGATACTGATGTCACTGGTTTGCAACTGTTCTTTTGACCTGAAAATTATTTGTTTATTTTTATGTAAGAAAACTGCTTGGAATAGAAATACCAAAGTTAAAAAATAAAACTCACAATTTGTACTGTAATGTGTAACGTCATTTTATTCTTGTTAGAATTAATAGTAATTACAAAATTGGTACCGAAAAAAGAACTGTCCAGGAACCGACACCGAAGTGAAGGTACCGACAACGGTACCGATTTTTTTAGAAAGGTACCCAGCCCTAATTGCATACTATGAACGTATTATGATTTTAGAAAGTGGCTGCTCAGCTAAAATGTAATTACAAGGGGTCTGGTTCTACTTGACTTGGTGGTCAAGCCCTCGTGTCTGTTGAACTTCCATTTTTTGGAGTTTTCAGCTTATCTTATTTGCAGTTGTTTTGGTGTTTTTATTGTTTTTGGTATTTGCAGCATTTTTCCTATTTATTGGGTTTTTTGAATGTGCGTTTCTTCATCTATTTTCTGTGGTTGCAGATTTTTTTCTGTTGCTTTTTTTTTTTTTTTGGAGTTTGCATCATTCCTGGGTTTGCAACACATTTTAACTGTTTACTGTGCGTTTGAAGCTCATTTGCACCTGTCACCCACCATGGAGGCAGGACTCCTCAGCGACTCTAGCCGTGAAAGACGTACCTCTTCTAGGGTAAGATGAACTAGACTTTTACAGAAGATCTCTTATAAAACAGTGAACCACCATCTACTAGACAAATATAAAAATCGAAAGTTTGATAAGAAAGGTACAAATAAAAAACATTACTGAAAGGAATGCATTATTTTATGATAAGATATGCAATTAAAAAGATAAAACAAAGGTTATTATTCACAGCTAAACTGCTTTCCTCTGGTGTGGATTCCCATGTGTCTGTTTAAATGTGACTTCCGTCCAAACCTTTGTCCACAAAGATCACAAGCAAATGGTTTCTCTCCTGTATGGACTATCATGTGTGTGTTTAAATGTGACTTCCGTCCAAACCTTTGTCCACAAAGATCACAAGCAAATGGTTTCTGTCCTGTATGGACTATCATGTGTGTGTTTAAAGTTGACTTCAGTCCAAACCTTTGTCCACAAACATCACAAGCAAATGCTTTCTGTCCTGTATGGACAATCACGTGTCTGTTTAAATATGATTTGTCGCTAAACCTGTGTCCACAAAGATCACAAGGAAATTGTTTCTGTCCTGTGTGGACTATCATGTGTGTGTTTAAAGTTGACTTATGTCCAAACCTTTGTCTACAAAGATAACAAGCAAATGGTTTCTCTCCTGTATGGACTATTATGTGTCTGTCTAAATGTGACTTCCGTCCAAACCTTCGTCCACAAAAATCACAAGCAAATGCTTTCTGTCCTGTGTGGACTATCATGTGAGTGTTTAAAGTTGACTTTTGTCCAAACCTTTGTCCACAAACATCACAAGCAAATGGTTTCTGTCCTGTGTGGACTATCATGTGCGTGTTTAAATGTGACTTCTGTCCAAACCTTTGTCCACAAACATCACAAGCAAATGGTTTCTGTCCTGTGTGGACTATCAAGTGTGTGTTTAAATGTGACTTATGCCCAAACCTTTGTCCACAAACATCACAAGCAAATGCTTTCTGTCCTGTATGGACTATCATGTGTATGTTTAAAGTTGTCTTATGTCCAAATCTTTGTCCACAAACATCACAAGCAAATGCTTTCTGTCCTGTGTGAACTATCATGTGTCTGTTTAAAGTTGACTTATGTCCAAACATTTGTCCACAAAGATCACAAGCAAATGGTTTCTGTCCTGTGTGAACTATCATGTGTGCCTTTAGATTACCTTTTCTGTTAAAATTTTTTCCACAGTCTTCACAACTAAATGAGTTCTGTCTTGATTGTTTTTTCTTGATTGAGTCTCCAGTTTTCTTAACTTCAAAACATTCCTTCATAACCAAACAATTTGAAGACATCAATGACTGACTTGTCTTGTGAAACTGTTTCTCGTGCTCACTGAAGCTGCAAGACTTCTTGACAGTGTGTACACCTGATTCAGGAGCTCTGCTCTCCTTCCAGTCTTTGTCATCATCTTCAGGTTCTGATCCATAGTCTGATAAGTCTTTTAGCTGAGATTCAGAGTCATTTATATCATCATCATCATCATCATCACCACCATCACCTTCATCCTCTTCCTCACTGACTTCAGTCTCTGAAGAGCTGCAATCATCTCCATAAGTATTTAGATTTGGGTTCCTGACAGTCTCTAATCCTCCACAGTCCTCTCCACCAGTTGCTGCTTTCATCTCATCAACTGAGCTGCTGGTTGGGAGATCTTCCTCTTTTACTTGGTGCTGATGAAGCTGTAAAAACAGAGGTCCCTCTTCATCTTCCTCACTCTTCAAAGGAGCAGCAGTGAATGCAAACCCGATGTCATCCGTCTCATTTTTCACATAAAACTGGTCTCCCTCTTGACTGGTCCACAGTTCCTCCTCTTCCTCCTTTATGTTGAGGGTATCTGGATCCTGTTGGTCCACACCAAGCATCTGTACTTCAGAAGCTGCTTCTTTAATCAGCACCATCTGCTGAACATCTGCAGGGAACACCAAAAACATGAACATCAGGCACAACTATAACTTTATATTCACACATACAGTGGTGCTTGAAAGTTTGTGAAGCTTTTAAAACTTTTTAAATTTCTGCATAAAATGACCTAAAACAACATCAGATTTTCACACAAGTCCTAAATGTAGATAAAGAGAACCCATTTAAACAAATGAGACAAAAATATTATACTTGGCCATTTATTTATCGAGGAAAATCAATCAATATTACATGATTTTTCCTGAGATTTGTCAAGCTGTTTGATCAATAATGAACGAAATTAAAGTTAACAAGAGCAGTGTTCACATTCAACCTTAATACAGGTGAGGGGTTTAGGTTTATTTTTAATATGCTGGACCCAATGTATGTTATTCCTTCACGTAGATTTTTTTTTTTTTGCAATAAAGCAGCTCCACAACTTCACCACCAAACAACAAATGGGAGAAGCTCTGATGCAGCTGCACCTCAAAGGTTACCATTATTTCTCATATTATACTAAAACTTAGACAAGTTATACAACAAACTTAATGTAATTTGTCTTTTTAACAGGTTGAAGAGGCCAGATGAGACACATCGCCTGGAGCCAGTTCTAAATGATACAGTTTATATGGTTTATAAATTATAGTTCAGAAGAGGTTTTTGTGTAAAGTTGCATGGGTTTTGAAATTTTCTTAAAGATTTACCAAATATGAATCATGTGAAGTCTGTATATTTCATATTAGGTTAAGTTTTCAAAATATAACAAATGTTAGAGCAATATGGTAAAAAACAAACAAACTGTGAAGTCTGTATTTTATGTTGAGTTAAAGCAGTCCTTCTCAAATAGTGGGGCACGCCCCCCTGGGGGGGCCCGGGGCAATGCCAGGGAGGGCGCATGTGACCCTAGAAAACATACATTTTTGCCGCAGGGAGTAGTTTTTTTTCTTTTCTTCACCATTCTCATTTTGTCGCGTGCGTTCCTAATAATAAAGTTATGAACAAATATGGCTGCCTTGTGGTTTTGGGAGCCATGCATGGACCGTGTCTCTCCCTTCTGCTGCTGACATGATAAATAAACTCCGACCGTCACCTCCTCCGCCCTCCGCTGCTGTTTTTATGTCCATGCGCTCTGGACATCACTCACAGCATGCATGCAACAAAGAGTAAACTCAAGCGAGAGCGACACCTGCCCTCTTTTTCCTCTTTTGCGTTGACAAAATGTTTTAGTTTTATCGATGAGTTTGTTAAAGCACAATTTACAGAAGTAATGTTTAATAAATGTTGGTTCTTTATTCTTTGCTAACAATTAATTCACCTCCTCAGTTAAGCTGCTGTTTTTTTGATGATCTGGACGTTTGTCACCCACAGCACGCAGGAGACAAAGAGTGAACTCAAAGCGAGAGGGTTACCTGCTCCCTCTTTCTTCTTTCATGTTGACATTTTTTTTGTTTTATCGATGAGTGTGCTCATTGATACTGACTTCCTCATTTTGATAAAAAATAAAATAAAATCAGCATAAATTGTTTTATTCATTTTTGTTTTGTAGGTCAAAGTGTTTTACATAACACTCCTGAGTTAAAATGTTGCTGATCAATTTGAATTTATTATTATTTATTGATTATATTTAATTTTATTTTTCAGTATCAAATGGTCAAAAATGTTTACAGTTTAAAAAAGGATTTTTTTCAGGCATATTGATGCACTTTAAGTTGTTTCTGTTACAGACTCAAAAAAACAATGTTAATA